TGTAATTTACTATCAATAATTGAGAAGAATTGAAATATTTTTTGAATCAAAATATAGTCTATGATGCCTAAAATTGAAATAGCAATACTTTCCATTTGCAGTATATGAGTAGAACTTTCTTTTAGAATAGTTTCAGATTTGCATAAAAGTTGCAACAGTATGTAGAGACTTCCTATACATTCATTTTCCTTTTTTTAGACATCTGACAGTGGGATATTCGTGATAGTGATACCTTATTTTTGTTAACTAAAAGCCATACTTTATTCATGTTCTTTTAGTTTAGTTTTTGCTCAATGTTACTTACTGTTCTATATTTTTAAGATAAAGTTTTTAATTAATAATCTTTCAGGATACTTCACACATTTATTTTTATATAGAACAGACATTCATTTCCCATGCACAGTGAGAAGCAATTTCTGTCACCAGGCTGTATTGATGCCCTGTGATTTATTTAGAGGAATCTCAAAGATGACCTGGCAGCACCGTGCTGGTGGTAAAATCATCATCTTGGCAGAGTAAGGTAATTCTCTCCCACTTTTGCTTCACTCACGTCTTGCCAGTCAGTGATTGAATACATTTAGAGTATGAGCACGGATATGTAAGCCTCTTCAGTTCATCTTAGTTACCATAGAGAGGCACAGCTTCTTATCCATATGCTCATGATTGCTGAGTCTGTGTGAGATATTAATGTGAAAAGCCAGACTTTTGGTGTAGCAAGGCATCAGAGTCTCAAAACAAGTATTTACTTGGTATTTCCTGGCAAGTTAACCATGAAAAAATCCAAGCACTGTGTATAACTTACAATCATCTCTTCTGGAGCCTTTGATTATTAACACTGGTGTATGGCTACTTGCTAAAACTAAGATTCCATAGAGGGTCTACATTTGAATTCTAACAGTTAAAAACAAAGCTACTATGATAAAAACAGCATGATACTGGTAAAGAAACAGACCAGAGACCAGTGGAACAGATTAGAAGATGCAGAAACAACTTCAGACACACTCAGCCACCTCGTCTTTGACAAAGGAGCCAAACACCCTCATTGGAGGAAAGCTAGCCCCTTTAATAAATGGTGCTGGAAAAATTGGGTTTCAACTTGCCAAAGATTAAAACTAGACCTATATCTCTCACCATGCACTAAATTAAAAT